TCACGGATTATGCCTCTGCAGGAATTAAGTGTTTTATGTATTGAGACAGTAATCCCAGTATTCGCAAACTGACGAGCTTCGAGCAAAATTGACAGATTGCTGTCTCTTTGAACATTCAACTTACAGAGAACCTGTCCTGAGACGTGTGACATTTTTCACTTCACCACAGATTCCAGCAATGGCTTTTGATATGGCAAAGGGGTTAAGTTTCAAAGGTTGTCCATCAATTCTCTCCACAACCAGAAAGCGTGTCGAGGAATCAATACTGACTGCGGTAGAATCATCATCAGAAGATGATAAAGCATCAATTTCAACATGTCGCCTTTTAGTTTTTGATCGAGAACCAGATAGATTTTGGGTAGCCATAATGAAAAACGGAGATTCCAGGAAGTGGAAACCGACTCCGAAACACCAGGGCTACGGGGTTGTTATACTCGAGCAATACAGACACAGGTAGCTAAAATTGTCAAACAGAATAAAGGTCAGGCTGGTTCCGCCCATGGCTATTATCTGAAGACACTTAGAACCTGGAGGTCAGTAATGCCAGATTGGCACATGAGCCACCGCCTGCTGGCATGGGACTCTAGGCAGAGTAACAATTTTCCAACGTGAGAGGATCACAACATTATTTCGAGGAAAAGATACAGAGATATACATAATCCAAATGTGAAGTTGACCATGCACAAGGCATGACATGACCAGCCGATTGGTAGAACCGGGCCCGTTCTACCTCCCGTCTAGGTGAAGTAAGGGTCGAAGTGGTGTGTTGGGCAAAAGGAACCCTGTTCCCGGCTCCTGTGCCCTCAACCACCAGAATCCCGTCCTCCACCGATACCAGGGGCGCAACCCACGACAAACAGGTTGCCCAATTCGGTCCGAGGTCCAGCAATGGGGTGCTGTGGACCAAACATACCCCCGGGTCCACAACGGGGGTTTGAAGAGCTCTTAGCTCTACTCAGCACCCACCACGAGGAGGTGGCCTTTCACGGGTGCCCTAAGGTGAGATATGTGGCCATGAGGTGTGATAGTGGACATAAGGTGAGATATGTGGCCAAGAGGTGTGATAGTGGATATAAGGTAAGGTGAGATATGTGGCCATGAGGTGTGATAGTGGACATAAGGTGAGATATGTGGCCAAGAGGTGTGATAGTGGACATAAGGTGCGATATGTGGCCATGAGGTGTGATAGTGGACATAAGGTGAGATATGTGGCCAAGAGTTGTGATAGTGGATATAAGGTGAGATATGTGGCCATGAGGTGTGATAGTGGACATAAGGTGAGATATGTGGCCAAGAGGTGTGATAGTGGATATAAGGTGAGATATGTGGCCATGAGGTGTGATAGTGGACATAAGGTGAGATATGTGGGACATGAGGTGTGATAGTGGGCATAAGGTGAGACATGTGGCCATGAGGTGTGAAAGAGGACATAAGGTGAGATATGTGGGACATGAGGTGTGATAGTGGACATAAGGTGAGATATGTGGGACATGAGGTGTAATAGAGGACATAAGGTGAGATGTGTGGCCGAGAGGTGGGATAGAGGACATAAGGTGAGATATGTGGCCGAGAGGTGTGACAGTGGACATAAGGTGAGATATGTGGGACATGAGGTGGGATAGAGGACATAAGGTGAGATATGTGGCCGAGAGGTGTGATAGTGGACATAAGATGAGATATGTGGGACATGAGATGGGATAGAGGACATAAGGTGAGATATGTGGCCGAGAGGTGTGATAGAGGACATAAGGTGAGATATGTGGGACATGAGGTGGGATAGAGGACATAAGGTGAGATATGTGGGACATGAGGTGGGAGAGAGGACATAAGGTGAGATATGTGGGACATGAGGTGGGATAGAGGACATAAGGTGAGATATGTGGGACATGAGGTGTAATAGAGGACATAAGGTGACATTAACAATACATGGCTTTCATTATGCATTCTCGCCAGGTATCACCAGAAGAATTACAACATGTGGCAACTTTAATGAGTGAGTGAGTGAGTAAATATGTATTGTCACATCGGCAATATTTCAGCCATATCGTGACGAGGACAGTTTATAAAATAAACATGAATATATTTTGAAGATTAAAACCTGTCGACGATGAACAGTAAAAGTTCTAGAGTATCACAGATATTAAGGTAAAACAATACGATCTAAAAAAGGGCGAGTGATTTCCAACAACGGATATGGTAACTGCTCCATCACACACATCAATCTATCATAAATTCATATTTAGTAATGACACTGTCAGTTCTGCGTCCACCAGTCTTAAGTAAGTATGGAAACGCAGAGTTCTCATCGTTACGTAGATGATATTTAATTAGATCTTCTAGAATGGTTGATCTACATATATGAAATTATAATCTACGAATTATCGATTTTGGAAACAATATTTTCTCAGGTAACCGACAATAGTTCCGAGGCAGTTCACATCTCTTCAAAATGACTTTTTCAGCATTTTTATGTCTATATGAGATGCTATCCAAACATCAAATAAAGTATGGAATTGTGTCGAAATTTTGTTGATTTATTTGAGTGTTTAAATTTTAGCACTAATAACTGGAAAAGATTATAAGTTACGAATGCAGTGGAAATATCGAAAAGGCACCATACACGATCAACATGCTGCAGGCATTACGATATTAATATTACCGTTTACAGATTTCAAATAATCTGCAGCAAAGTGAGGTCCTGGCACAGTCAGGCTGGTAAGGCTGATCATCATCTCATGTACCCTTGATCCCTTTACATGCAGCCGGAACAGCGAATGGGACTTCTCCCAGGAACCGCTACCTAGTCAAACCCACCAAGAAACAACCTTTCGGAGAATATGGATACTCCCCAACACTGCAGCCTTTTGCCTTACCCTGACTGTCAGAAGGGCTGTGCTCCTGGTGGAGATCCTGGGCACTCTCATTGTCTGCGCCAAGGATCAGGAGGCAATGGCAAAATTTAGATTTAGATATTTGCGCCAAGAGATCATGCGGTACTAAACAGTACTGTACTAGGGATGCATGCGAGACATTTCAAAGAGGAGGTCAGCATATTTAGCATGCTTTTCTTGCCAATCACTTGGTGTCGAAACGGACGGAATACTCAATAACATAAATGTTTCATTGCCTTTATCAAAATGGACAAGATCAGGTTTATTGGAATAAATTCTTCTTACACTGTATATTGGCCTATTCCAAAGAAGCTTGAAAGCATCATTTTCTATGATGCTCAGGTTCACTTCTTTGATGGCATTTTAGAAGTAGGGAAGTAGAATATAGACAACTTTATGGATAACAACTTTTTTAATTCGTGAGTGCAACGTTTAAATACAGATTCTTGTATCGTTGTCAGGTATTCCTGCTTGACTCACGAAATAAAGATGTCATCCATAAAGTTTGCCTATAATGATCAGGGTCGTTCCATGGATGGGCCTCGTAGTCAAAGCCACAGGCATGCCGAAGACCGTAGTAGCACCAACGATACATGCCATCATGTCGTTTAAGATATGTTGTTTGTGCCAAGAAAGGATATCCAGTGACAAGGTGATGGACAGTCTCTGTGAATTCATTGCACAATCGACATTTCATGTTAATATTTCCTTGGTACTTGGGATGCAAGCAAGACATACAGAAGACGAGGTCTGCATATTGTCCTGTTTTCCTTCTTAACCTCTTTGTTTCAATAGGAACAGAACATTCAGTTATACATGTAGTTGTTTTTCTCCAAAAAAGGCCAGATCGGGTTTGTTCCCGATGCCACAATTCTGATGCCTTACCAGATGTTTTCCTGGACTATTTCACAGATAAGATCTCCAAAGTTCGCTCCTCTATGTCTGATGCAAGCAACACAATGGATCGGCACGTTGCTCAACGTGATACCAAACAACAGGAAGACTCAATCCCCTCTCGTATCCCCTCTCGTAAATCCGAGTGACCTCTGTGAGAACCTCATTACTTTCAGGGAGTTCATTAGAAACTCAAAGCTAACTTCATGTGTACTCGATCCCATACCAACATCATTGGTGTTGATGTCCCCCCTCCCAGTTATGACGGACATAGTTAATTTCAGCCTCAGACACGGAGTGATACCGTCAGTCTACAAATCATCCTGACATGCTGGACGGGTGAAATAATAACCGCCAAGCAAGTGGTTCGCTGTGATAACCACCTCGAGGGAACCGATACATTTATAACAAGAAGCCATGCCATAGTGTCGATTGAGATACGTTGTCTATACCTGGGATCAATTGACAGTCCTTTCTATTTTAACAATCTCAGCGATCCATTGCAAAGTCGGCATTTCATGTAAGAACACTCTTTGAGAATCACATTTTTGCAATTGCGTGTAGGAAGTGACTGGTCCTGAGTAGCAAGAAGAAAGCTCTTTGTTTCAGAAATGTCCATTTATATCGATAACGGCTGTGGAGTACCGCTACAAACACGTACAAAGACGAGTGTCACACTGTTCCCATTTTGTACACACCTATGTCCATTTATGTATCAGTCACAAATATCTATGGATTTATACAAACCTATGCCGGGTGTAAATATTAACACATTGAAATCATTCTCAATCAGTGTGCTCATGAAATGAATAGACACGTGACATATACAACTAGATGTGATTTCTGTAGATCTACTATCTACAATAAGCTGTACTACATAACATGTGTCCTTTCATTAAATTTGCAGTAATGACTTTTATCGCGTGTAATTTCAATCTTAAAGTTTAATAGGCACAAGAGAATGAGATATTTGGTAAAAACCTTCCCAAGCTTGAAAATCAATATGAACATGCGATATTCACCATCTGTTTTGCTGTTTAAAAATGGCTGAGGTTTGCAAGTATTTTTACTGAATTGTTTTAAATGACCAATAGAAAGCAGCATGGCAAGGGTGTAATATTATTCGACATATGTCAGTATTTTCATTGGTCCACCTAACTTTCCACTGGCAATAATAACTCGTGAAGATGATCTGATAAGTCACTCGGAATCAACATGACGATGTTCGACAGCAGACTCTTCTTGGTTCTCCTGGCTGTTCTTGTGCCATCCCTGGGATCTGTTCCTGGGCCTAATGAGCTTCCCGACAAGCTTCAGGAGCTCCTGGACCTCCTGGTAGTCGCTAAGGCTGATTTCCAGTGTATCTTTGACATCATCGACGAGCAATGCCCATGTCTGAGTAAGTTAAAACACAACTAATGATGATCTTTCTCAATTCCATGTTCATAACCGTTTCCGAATATGTGTGGAAACATTTTCTGATCTTTTGAGGAAAAGCTTTAACTTGAATATTGCTCTACACTGCAACAGCTGCATGTCTCCATATCAACATTCGTCTGAAGATGCTTGGTACAGATACAATTTCTTCAATTCTAACCGGTTTCACACTATCTGTATGATCACGAGAATGTATGTGTGTGTGTGTGTGTGTGTGTGTGTGTGTGTGCGTACGTGCGTGCGTGCGTGTAATAGCTTCAGGAACCATGGAAGAAAGCATCATACGAACTTAGATGTAAAGGTCTTACCGCCATGTGACCAGACGCGAGTTAATCTAACTTATTTATTCAAGAATAACATAGGGTTTGAGTAACCATAAGCAGGACTGGTAGTACTGATTATGAATAGTCTTGTCTCTAACACTTAGTGGAGTCTATGAATGGCCATTCGCCGAGGTTTTATCTTTTCTGGAATAGTGAAGTGTGAAGCTTGTGTCTTTTATTTTTTACTGTATGTATTAAAAATATTTCTCTCTCAAATCATAATAAATAGGACATTTATACATCTACAATGACATTATTGTGGGAAAATTCTAAAATTTCTAACAATACGCTCACTTCCACTAATATTTTTCATTACTAAGGTCTCTTTGATCACCGTTATTACCTCCTAAACGTGCCTTAAAAATGGTATGAATGATATGCCTTTATTGTTATTCGCAGATGAGGTCACTCTCATTTACAAAACAAATTGGATATGTTAAAATAATTGTGTATCAAATGGGGTCTACAAGTTAACTTAGATTCATCCTGCATTATTATTTTCAGGAATGGTAGCCTTCTTCGACATAACGAAAAATGGCTTTATGTTGGTACAAACAGGAATGTTTTGTCTCATTATAAATAACTTGGGATTGTTTTCACATAAAAATTGTACTGGTCTAAAGCATGTGAAACAAGCCAGGAATACTTCATTTCCTATATTTTCAAAATATACTCTCCAAAAAAAGAAACGCATCATGAAAATAGCAATTTCATGTAGCAATGAATTTAAACGTGATTAATTTTACAAAAGGTTTTGCTCTGTTCATGAGTCCTATCGTGTTTATGTTTTGAAACATCACAACAAAAAGCACCATCCGTAAAATACCCGTAGTTAACAGCATTTTCAATTTCGGCGTGTAGTGTCACAGAACACACAATTCACATGCAATGCACGTGAAAGTTGGGGATCAGATAGTCTCAATGATGGGTATAAACGGTTGATCGCTGTCTGTCGATTATTCACTGTATTTGGAATATTGTTGACGAACGCAAAATGCTACGTCTAAGTGAAGCCAACCGTCATATCGCCAGTGGTTTGCTTGAAGCTGGCCAGTCTCAACGTGCAGTTGCCCGACGCATGAATGTTCACCAAAGCACCATTTCACGGCTCTGGGAGAGATATCGCCGGCAGAATGCGGTAGCAGATGCCCCTCGTAGTGGGCGACCTCGAGCGACCACTGCGGCGCAGGATCGCTACATCCGGGTACATTACCTGCGTCATCGAACAGCTACGGCGACCAGTACCGCTCGACAAATACCCGGATTGAGGAGGCTTTCTGCACAGACCGTCAGGAACAGGTTGAGAGAGGCTGGTTTACGTGCCAGAAGACCTTATTTTGGCCCTGTGCTTCGACAACAACATCGTCGACATCGAGTTCAATGGTGCACCAACGTTCAGGCCTGGAACCTACCGAATTGGCGTAGAATCTGGTTCAATGATGAATCACGATTTCTATTGGAACGACGCGATGGAAGAATGCGGGTGTACAGACGTCGACGTGAACGTTTCGCCGACGCTTGCGTTCCCGAGGTGGATAGATTCGGCCGGGGAAGTGTTATGATGTGGGGAGCGATCACCTGCCGTAGGAGAAGTGATTTGGTGATGATCCAGGGCAACCTGACAGCTCAACGGTACTGTGACGATATCCTACGCCCACACCTCCTTCCAATCATTGATCGTCAGAGAGAGTTGTTTCAACAGGACAATGCCAGGCCCCACACAGCACGTCACACTAGAGACTTCCTCCAGAACCACAACATCAATGTGCTCCCCTGACCTCAAGATCACCGAACTTAAACCCGATCGAACATCTGTGGGATGCCCTGGACAGACGGGTGCGACGCCGTAACCCTCAGCCCCAGACACTTCAGCAACTCGCACAGGCACTACAGGTAGAGTGGGCTGCGATTGGGCAACACGAGCTTCTGACACTTATTCGTTCGATGCCGAGGCGATGCCGTGCAGTTCTGGATGCCCACGGTGGTCACACGAGGTATTGACTTCAGCGCCACCACACGTCTCCATGTGACCCTCAAACTGACTTTCCTCGAGTTGGTGCCAAAGACGGAAAAGTCTGCATTCCCAGTGTGCAATTTCGCTATATTTCATTGACTCATAAAGCCTACAAGATGTTTCAAAATAAAATAAAAATACAGTTGAAATTCCTATATACGTTTCTTTTTTGGGAGAGTATATATCTTTGAATGTGGCATCTACCATATTTGATAGCAAAATTGCACCAATGACGCTTTATGGTGCAGACATATTGGGTTTTATCTATCGTGCAAATATTGAAACAATGCAAAGTTTTTATTTCAAAAGATAGGTGTTAGCAAAACTGTATCTTCAAATATTGTACTCAGTGAAACGGGTAGAAGCCATTTTTTTTTGCGTTCAGTATTTCACCCGTTGTATAAAGTACTGGTGTAGACTCCTGAATATGGAAAATTATCGTATTCCAAAGGCATATTATGTACGTTTACTTTATTTCACTCTGAATTTTCTTTTGTGTGGTTATCACAAGGCGATTTAACAAGTTTTATAAGTATTTTTAAACAGATATGTAAAGATACAGATATCCAGAATTGGTATGCAAAAATCACTTCTTCATCATTCTTAAATCATTACTCGTCATATAAATCTGTACTTGAACCTGAAAAATATATAGATCAGAGTTTTGTTTGTGATAAAGATCTCTTACGTGTTTTATTCAAATTCAGATGCATGAGTCATAAACTTAAAATTCAACATAACCGTTATAATAAGGTAAATGCTGATTCCATTAAATGTGATAAATGTAATTGTAATTTGATGCAAGATGAGTATCATTTCTTGCTCGTATGTCCATTTTATTCACAACGGCGCTCTTTATACATTCCTGATTTGTATATTATATCTCCAACCAGATCAAAGTTTAATCAGTTGCTTGCAACAAAGAATGTAAAACTCCTAAAATATATTGCAATTTATCTTAAACTATATTTACCTGTATAAATTGTAAAGTCTTCACCTGTCCATGTGCTATATTTTGTTTATTGAATTGTACTCTTGGTCATGTGGCCATAAATACTGAATAAAGCTCTTCTTCTTCTAACAACCAACAAACAACAAAGAAATGTGATGTAATCAACAGTTGTATTCTAAAACTGAGTAACTTCACAAAATCAGTACAAATCACAATGGCAGTACAAGACGTGTGCCAAGGTAATAAATAACAAGAAGAGCGATTGAAAATATAGGCCTTGGCAGGTAATGATATGATCATCACTCACAATGCTGGCCTTCTGGTAACTTGAGATGCTATGTGAAATGAGAGCCTAAAGTTAACTACCCTAATAAAACGATGCTAGAAGATGCTGTTGGTTCTCTAGCAGTTTACCGGGTTGTAGTACCCTGTAGTAGCTTCCAGAACGTCTTCTGTAAATCTAGTGTGTGTAGACTCGTCTTGTGACAGATCTCAGTGTCAATGATCTTTATGATCCTTTTCAGTCTGCTTATAGATCAAACCATAGCACAGAGACAGCACTGCTCAGTGTCATGGAGCAGCAGACGCGGGGCAAGTTACACACTCCGGCGCAGTGATGACTTATCATAACATCACTGTCCCAGGCTAATTTGCATATCACGTGACCGGACCTTTCTCTTGCTTGTAAACGAACGCGCATATTCATAATCAGAGGAGACTTGCCTTACGCAAGCTTTTCGGCGCGCTCTTCACAATGTTTTACATTGTTACATATGTATTCTTCAACAACTGAGACAGTAAGGTTTATGACAGTACATATTTAGATATCAAACTCCCTGCATCGTTTGCTCTCCGTCGGCTTCGATGACAGCACGTGGAGCCGTACAACCTATGTAAACAAAGGATCGCTACGCAAATCGAAATAGTGTTACATGTTTTAGGATATTTTCTCAGTGAAACTAAACCATTCTATCAAAGATGTTTAATTAGATGTGTAGACTCATCAAAAATAAAAGAGTTAAGAAATATGTACATTATATCGAATGGACGGTGCAAGATGTGACGAATCGTCACATTTTCCTGGCCTGTGGCAGAGGTACTATGCTGGCTTGCCGCATGGAACTCTGGGTAGGAGAGTGGGTAAGTTAGTGTGCTTGTTCTTCTCGACTTGTCTGCGGCCTTTGACACTTTAGACCACAACGAGCTCCTTGTGTGTTTACGGGACCGTTTTGGGCTAAGTGGTAACGTGTTAAAGTGGTGTTCGTCATATCTGGGAAACAGAACACAGTTCGTACTTATCGATGACGTCCGATCAAGTTTACATGAAGTTATTTATGGAGTTCCACAAGGATCAGTCCTTGGACCCTGGATGTTTACTCTTTACACACGTAGCCTTGGTGAGCTGATTAGTCAGCACTCTGTGAATCACCACTGCTATGCTGATGACACTCAGCTTCGGAGACCATTTTTCCCTCAACAGTCCGAAACACAGATCTCTCATTTTTCACAGTGCATTTCTGATGTGAAATCCTGGATGTCAGTCAATAAACTAAAATTGAATGACAACAAAACTGACTTCTTGCTGACCGGTTCAACCATGAATCGGGACAAAGGTCAAGTAGACTCGATCACATTTGGTAACTCCGTCCTACCTTTCAGTACAACAGTATAAA